ATGTATTATAACATGGAGTGAATGAGCTTGTGTTATTGTAAAAGGGAGAATGGTTGAGATATTTATAGCAGCTGGGTTAAACTGTACCTGATTTAGGCACACTGCATTTGAAGCACTTCTCTCTCCTTTTGAAGTTTTGCACACCACACTGTTGAAATGTTACATGACTCACAGTTAACAGACTTATTAAAAGAATAAGCGACTTCAGTGAGTGATATACACGCCTACAATTCACACAACCTTGTTGCAGAGCCAGTCCTCATTGGCACGTGGTTTTGGGTCGCTGTAGTGCATCGACACTCTTTGTCCCAGGATCATCAGCACTCCCTGAAAGAAAAAGAAAGAGAGGGACGGGGAACAAAGAATGATTATCAGCGATAATTAGGCCACACATGCCAGAGAAAGGCCTCATCTCACAAGAGATGAGAGAGAGTGAAAGAGAGAGAGAGAGAGTAGAACTGAGACTGAAAGAAAGAGGACACCAGAGAATTGCAACCTTCAGCTTTAGGAAATTGGGACGGACTGAGATGGTGTATGCGTAGTGTGTGTGGGTGTCCATTTTTAAGGACACAATGTGTTTTGTTCAATTGTGTCATCCCTCCCCCCTTAAGGGGAAACCTTTTCACAGTTTTCCACACATCCCATCCCATTGTCACCACCTTCATCCCATAGACAATAGCTCCATCCCAGAGATGTAATAATGGTAGATGACCCAGATATGAAAGGTTCAAAAACAAGAAAATGAAGTACTATATTGGTTCTGATTCAACATACAATAGACCATGTGAGAAATTATATTCACACTGTCACACTACCCCAGAGGTGGACTTAGGAGAGAGAGTGAGAACGTCACTGGAGAAAGAAGAGACCTCTGTAATAGAGGAGTTTGTATTGGACAATGATGAGCAAATGTGACTGGGAGGGTCCAGATATGAAAACTATGTAGTTAGGCGCCAGACAGACGTCAGCATGATGTAACATGAATTTGCCTGTTTGTGGAATTCTGTATAAGTAGAAAGAAAAGATGAATTTTGCCTCAGAGTATAAAGACCTACCTACCTCAGGGACAACATTATTTCTCCACTGTGTCTGTCTACAGGAATGCGTCATGTGCACATGGCAGGGTATGATGCGACTGTATATTTGTCTTGATATAACCCATGTGTCCCACTGTATGCATGTATATATGTGTATGTGTGTCTGTGTAGGGGAGAGTGACCTGGTTGGTCTCCATCCAGCGGGTGGCCTCCTGTATGACATTAAACTCGACGAAGGCGAATCCTCGGCTCTGACCTGGACACCGCCCAGCGCCATGGTAACCGAACAACAACAACAACAACATAACAACAACGCAGTGAGGGGTTAGTGCTTCATGTCCAGAGGAGAGAGAGAGAGAGAGAGAGAGAGAGAGAGAGAGAGAGAGAGAGAGAGAGAGAGAGAGAGAGAGAGAGAGAGAGAGAGAGACCCTGTATCAGCACTAATAAAATTAATCATTGCCTCCTCTCCCCCTTGGAAATAACACACCTGACAGCCAGTCGGAGAGTCGCTGTCAAAGACTCTGCAAGGGTGGGAGAACGCAATGTCAAGTATCTCAGCAGGGTCAAGGAAAGAGAGAGGGAGAGCGGGAGAGAGAGAGAGAGAGCAAGAGAGAGAGAGCGAGAGAGAAAGAGAGAGAATCCTACCCACTCATCAGTTTGAGTCTGAGCTCTTCGGCTTTGATTGATGAAGCACCCAGACACCAACAGAACAGACACACACAAACACGCAAGCACACAGACATACATATCTCTGCTAGTCTGAAAGTCAGAGAGCAGTCTGAGCTAAGTAGCACTGTGGTGGAATGCTCCATAGTCTGTCCATGCATTACTATAACTGATTGACAACACATTATACAAAAATATTGAGACTTATGTAATTTTTAAACACTGTATAACATGGAGTGCAATCACAACAGATCATCATTTGAACATTCAGAACTCAGAGTGACCTATCCTAAAAACAGAGAAACAGTCATGTGGGGGTGAGAAAGACAGAGCAGTGCGGGGGACTGTAAGTGTGCCCGAGACAGATAGGCACACCTTACAGACAACCAGTGCGTTAGCAAAGGGGGAGGCCAGTGAGACAATGACCTTAATGGAAAAAACCTTTAGAAAAAGACAAGCTTTTCGGAGTGGTATGGATGACGCTCACAGAGCTGAGAGGCAGCTGCAACACTTATATCCCCACACTCACACACTCAAAAATAGCTACAATGACAAACGCCATCAAACGCCTTCTGCTTCCACTGCTCAATTTTCAGTTGACACTGTTAGTTTGTGAGCACTGTTCATCTACTCAGACACATCTCGCTTCAAGATGGATGAGGCAGGAACATGAAAGTTTAAAGGCAAGAGGAGAGCCAAGGCGAAAAGGAAAATTAATGCCATGGAGTGAAGATCTCTAACCTATGGCTGTATGCATGCATTCTTGTCCAATAGGCAAGTATGGAAAGAAGTCTCGTTTGAAGCGTGCATGTATGCTAGCTAGAATTCAGACACCAGCAGACCAAAAAAAAAAAAAAAAATCAAAGCAGGAATCACAGCAAAAGCCTCATAGGTTTATAAATATGCATTCTTTGCAGCTATCTATCCCGCTGTCAGAGTATGAGGAAAGACAGTGACGGTAAGAGAGGAGGTAAAGGCAATAGAAGACGCTTATTAATAAAAGAGAGAAAGGACTGCACAGGTAAGGGAGAGTCACCTGAGAGAGCAATGAAGTGAAAGTGCTGGTAATGGATGAGTGTGACACAAAGGGAGGATTAAAAATGGACAAAACAATTAGAAGCAATGGACAAGTCCTCACCTGAAGATTTGTTCCTCATGAGGCGAACCTCTCTTGGCTGGATCCCCTGATCCTGAAGTTGTGCTCGGATCTATGAACACAGAGGCATTATTACCCACTGAAGCCAACTGACAACATCGCCCAAGCATCACACAAACCTGCCCAGGAGACATACCTCATTGGTTGTGGCATTGGGTGGCAGCATACGAAGCATTATGATGTTGCTTGGCCTCTGGTTGTGGTCCAGATCTGCACGATAATCCTGGTCCCTCTGATCCAGCTCCTCAAGGGACAGGTCTGGACCAGCACTCCCACAACTATGCTCGTCTGCCCCCACTGGAAAAGCCTGCATAGAAACAGTCACACATTAGCAACTGATGTAAACAACAAAATAAAGTTAAAGCAGCTCAATAAAGAAGACGGCCTGGTTATGGCTCACCCTCCTCTTCACCGCAGCACGCGAGAACCTGTCCTCCTCTCTCTGTCGTGCTGTATTGTATTCCATCTGTTCCAAATGGGCACCACCACGACCCCAGTTGCCATCCCTACCCCCTGAATGAGGGGCACTGTTCTCAGGGAAGCCTCTTCCACCTTTCCCCCGACCTCTTTCATGCGGGCCAGTCAATAACTGCTCAAACTCCCGCCTGGATCCCTCCTCTTCCCTCTGGTGCATGGGAAGGCCGAGATCAGGCTGCGACTGAGAGCACGGGGGCCACAGGAGCCCCTTCCCCTCGCGCCCAATGTCCCCTCGCCCATCTCTCTGGTGAAACCCCGGGCGGTCTTGGAGACGACCGGGCGAGAAGTCACGAACACCAAGTGGTTGCTCTTCACGGCCGTACGGTCTGTTGCCCTCTGCTCTGATGTCATATCCTGCCTCCTCATCCTCTTGGCCATAGCCTCGGTAGTCCATGTCCCGAAAGTTGTGGTCGTTGTGAGTGTTGCCATAGCGACCCATGCGGTCACCTCGCCCACCCCTGTTGACCATAACAGACAATGTGAGGGACTTGTCAATGCTTTAGGGTGAACCGGTGCAAAAATAAAGTTGAACTCACCTCCGCTCATAGTCCATGCTGCTCCACTGACTCTGCCCCTGGTCTCTGCCCTGTTCCTATTTGGTTACAGCATTGGATACCCTGGAAGTACACCAGCAATTGTTTTTTCACAACAGACATTTTGACTTGTGTCAGTAGGAAAAGCACAAGTGAAATGGATGAAAGTAAGAATGGCTGAGTTCCATTTACTAGTTAGCCAACATGGACAATACCAGGGTCTCCCCTGAGTGGAATGCAGCTGTCATTAGTGTTATTGAACACACCTGGGCTGCTCCTACTCTGATGTGTCAAAATGTCTGCCGTGCAAAAGGTCTATTTACTCTTTGAAAGATAAGCAATACTGAGGAGAATCAATGCAGTCTGTGCTGACTGTCTTTAAGGAACACAGTCAAAACTTAAATGCAACTACTTTACAGGAAAATATCCCAAGTAGTGCCTACTGGGTTGCACTGTAGTGATGTGCAAGTTACAAATAGGTAGCATGGTTTTAATTGTCACCAGGTTAGCTGCATTTTTAAATACTGCACACTTCTCCAACTTTGCCTGATGTCACTGCTTTGTAAGCCACTCAACAACACGCATGAACAGAGGCATAACCGAGCATCACTGAGAAACATGTGCGCGAAGCACACGCCAAACTTTACTACCCAAAAAGGAGTATTCAACAATGACGTATGGCGGTCATCTCGGTTAGCCACCAAGCTAACTAGTTTAGCCTGTGCTTGGCTAGCTAGTCCATGCAGAGCCGTTGCCTCCAAAAACCGTCTGTCAGCCGCTGTAAACACACCAGCAGCAGTTTTATTTGAAATACGACAAACACTTACCACCGCCACATGTAGCCAACAATAGTCCTTTAAATGTCACGTCGACGCTCAGGTGAGAAGGGTATTTTATTTTTCGGGGAACCAAGTGTAAAATGGCCACAGCAAGACAACATTTCAAAAGGGGCGAGGACAAGTACCCGACTCTGGTGTGTGATTGGCGGTTGGAGAGCGAACACACTAATGTCGACGGTGATTGGACGAGACAGCCAGGCCAACCCAAAACTAGTAGCCCACACTCGGGGGATCATTTGATGCGTTTGTGTCGATATTTTAAAATCAGATATAAAAATAATAGAATCAGGTATTTTGAGGGGTTATGAGTTTCTTTTATTCAGCAAAAAAAGTAAATTAATGCCAGAAATATAGGGGAAATTGTTGCAATCATTAATGAATACATGGAAAGAACACATAAATACCTTACAACAGAAAACCCTAATATCAGCTTTATTTGGAAAAAAAAAATCCAGAAACAAAAACCCTTAATATGTCACAGTACAAAAAACAAAAAAGAAGCCCACCCCCAAAATAACTTCCAGCCATGCACCCCAAGCTTTTACCTTCAGTTAACTAAACAGAAAAAAAACTACTACGGTTACAATTTATCATTTAACTGACGTAATATGATCATAACAGCAGGATTAAGTAAAATGATTAAAATATACTAAGAAAATTAGAGACATCAATAATAAAAAGGTATAGTACAATAATGACAATATCATTAAAGGAGGCATGGGAAGAGTTGAGTAAAAGGCAAACTTGAAATACACATCATTAACATGTCCTTACAAAGCCTTGTAGGACATACAGTACATAATGGACTTTATAGTAATAAGCCTATCATCTATCCGAAAGAATATTCAACTTATCAACTACACCACTCATGATTTGACCCACTGATTAACACAATCAAATGAATCTCTGGTACACACACAAAAAAAGGTCCTAAAAACTTAGAATATGTTTAACCTGATTGTGCCTCTAGGTAAAGTACAATGTCTTCCAGTAAAGTGAAAGTTTCTATGTCACTCTGAGTAGCTGTTAATTCCATTACCCACCTGAGCCAGCAAAACGTGGCCATCAGGGGTAACTTTGGCATGGAAACAAGGGGTTAGGTCAGTGACGCAGAAGGCCTTTCCATGCATACAGTACATAGACACATATGTTAATACACACACCCACACGAATATACACACATTCACTGCATGCAGACCTGCACTGGAGAAAACAAACCACCATACAGTTGCACACACGCACGCACGCGCACACACACACAATCTCTAAAGTACAGGTAAGTAATTCAGTATGGGAAAATATCTCATACAATCTAGTTTAGGCATACCCCTGCATAGCGCCTGAGTCAGAATATGGGCCTGAAGGAGCAAAGCCAATGACAGGGAGAAAGCATTCACAAATGTGATGTGTGGACACTACAAATGACAAAATAATACCCCCATCTAAGTCATGAATCCCTACCCCACAACTTACTTTTCTTGACCACTGCTCTCAAGGCACTACATGTAGGCGATACTGTGTAAAATCCACTTGGACATGGTCCTAATTCAAACCTATTTTTATACTTATGTCTTTTTTTCTGTCTTTCTCTTTCATGTCCCCATTGTCTTTGGCCTGGTAAGGACCTTTTCTCTCTTCTTTCCCATCATGGCACATTTCAACCCGTTTACATCTACTCAAGTTCAAATCACCCCCCCCCACCACCACCTGCCCTACAAACGTCTAGATCTGAAAGGTTTTGATAGAAGTGAGCAAAATGGCACTTAACCTAATGTATAGACCAAGGACCAGAGTGTAGAAGCTTATCAAATCATTTAAGACCTGCTTTAATTTGCTGAGGATGATAAGAAATTGAGCATCCGCAAAACTTTTCTGGGCCCTCCCCCAATTTTCTCCCCTATGTCAAATCTCATTGGAGTCTGCCCTCTCCATCTGTGCTTGATGGCAGCTCCCTCTTCTCCCAGAGCCTATAACAGAAGGCAGGTGGACTTCTTGCCACGCTTCTTGGCCTGCAGTGCTGCCCTAGTTGCCATCTCAAAGACTTCCCTCACACCATCTTTGGTTTTGGCAGAACACTCCTGGTAGCCGTAGGCACTGATGCGGTTTGCCATCTCTTTGCCATCTTCATATTTGACTGGTTCCTAGAGACACATGCCAGAGAGAAGGTTTACATTTTGACACTTATACCAACAGATGTGCACATACCAGCGATAAAAGAACCTACCTGTTTCATTTTGGCAAGCTCTCGTCTGGTGTGCTCATCGTTGCGCAGATCTTTTTTATTGCCCACCAGGATGATGGGAACATTTGGACAGAAGTGTTTCACTTCAGGTGTCCACTTTTCTGGAATATTCTCTACGGTGAGTCAAGGGAAATAATGCAGTGTTAATTTCACAGTCACAAGGTGTTTGGTACAGTGGTGTGACTGTTGCCAAGACAATACCTAAACTGTCGGGGCTGTCTACAGAGAAGCACATGAGAATAACATCAGTGTCGGGGTAGGAGAGAGGCCTCAGTCTGTCGTAGTCTTCCTGACCTGCTGTGTCCCAAAGTGCTAGCTCTACCTGAGAAACGAGAGACAGAGAGTTATATGTAAGGACAGATGCAAGAAAAAAAAGATATGTAAAGAGGGCCACCCGAGCATTTAAGTTCATTTAATCTATGTTACATGATTGGCAGATTACATTCCATATTACATTATTATCATACTTATAATAGAGAAAAAAAGACAACCCCTATGCTACTGACAATGTCTCACAATGTCCCCTATCACTATCACTTGATATATTTGTTTAAGTAAAGACAACCATGGCAAGTTGATGTTCACTGCATTGCACTTTTTAGCAATGGGAAGCCAAACTTGAACTTTAATTTTCAAAAATGATTTTAAATTAAAACAAAATTGGTAATGGCTTGTAAAGCAAAAATGATTAAGGTGATAAACCAATTAGAAAGATCTACAGCTTAGATACAGAAATATATTCAGCAACTATTTTCTAAATGAAGCAACTGTAGTAATTTTCAAAGCAAAGTTGTTGAAGTAAAAACAACAAAAAATACTGGTGAATATTTGCTATTTTTTCTAGTCATATATAAGAGTACATTTAATATGTTTGGATTTTTGCCATGGGTAAGACAAAACATGCAATGCGAAGTAGAGCTGCAGTGATTAGGTGATTAATCGTTCATTCAATTGACAGAAAATTAATTGTCAACTAAGCTGATAACTGATTAATCATTTAAATATATTTCACAAGCAAAAAAATTCCAAACATTTGATGGTTTCAAATGTGTGAATTTGCTGCCTTTCGGTGTCCTAAATTACAGTAAATTAATTCTCTTTGGGTTTTGGACTGTTGGTCAAAAAATGATGATGCAACCTCATGCTGTAAGAAATTATGATGGGCATTTTTCACCATTTTCTGATATTTTAGGAACCAAACGACTATTCCTGTGAAAATACACAGGTAAATCTTTAATGAAAGCAATTATCAACTGCTACTAGTTTAGTTTTACAATTTAAACTAAGACGACAATATTACATACCAGCTGCCACAATATTATACAAAGTTTGACAATGTGATAACTAATAAAAATCAGATTTGAACCGTCTCTATCGTACAGTTTCCTCAAGGACCCTTTGGTCTCCACGGTGCCTTGTTTACAGTTCATCATGTCTCACCTGTTTCCCATCCACTTCAATGTCTGCCACATAGTTCTCAAACACAGTGGGGACGTAGACCTCTGGGAACTGGTCCTTACTAAAGACGATGAGAAGGCAGGTCTTCCCACACGCACCATCCCCAACTATCACCAACTTCTTCCTGATAGCAGCCATCTATGTAAAGGAGTCCAAAACAAGGTTTATACATGGTTATCACAAGTCAATACTCTCCACTGATGATATAGCCAAGCACATTTTTTTTGTGCCAATAGTGTATACTGTAATGACATTCAGAATGAATAAGACTTTCAAACTATCAAACAAGGGTACAATTACTGTGCTTTCTATGCTTCATCAACAGTTCCCCTTGGCTGGCACAAAACGTCAGCAACAGCTCAGACAACGTTAGTAACGCAAGAATACCGGTGTCCTTTTATATCTTAAGAGTTTCACCAAAAAAGTCCAAATGTACGACATAAATCTAAACCAAAAAGACTCGGCTGGCGAACAGGAAGTCTGCCTCGGAGGTAAAGGGTGTAAACATATAACATTTCCGTGCTGTGTTCCCATTCCTGCTGAAAGGCTGTGCAGTGTATTCCGGGCCTGTCAAACCAGCTAACGTTAGCTAGCAAGAATGCTAACGGTGTTTCCCCGGGTTTAGATAACTGTCACTCAAAGTATTCTCTCTGAAATTATCACTACGACATTCCCCGCGCTACTGTGATACTTTTGTGGCTGAAACAAGAATCGGCATAAAGTTTAAAAGCTATCTCTGAGTAAGATTACCGCTTGATGTTTCTGTGTCCGCCTTTCTCCTCTTCCTGACCGACAGGAAAACTCCGCCCACTGCTGACGCGCATGCGCAGAAGTACGTCATTCGTCAGGCTGCGGCAACTTTACTTACAAAATAAGAAGCATGTTTTCACTCGTATTATTTAGTGCATATTAAAACAATAAAACCACATTAATCATGATAATGTTAATAATAATATAGTCATTGGCTCTTAATTAAAGGCACAAGTCTAATAATTGGACTTTTTCAATGGTCTTTTATTTACTTCTTTAAATATCAATAATGCAATACATTCAATTGTGTAATTTTGTACACACAAATGTAAAAAATATATATATACATACATATAGTTATATATACACAGTAGTTATAAATTAGTTAGAGGGAAAATATAGCCCATAAATGTTTTTAAGTTTCAAGGTTAACTGTCCATGTGGAGGGAGATCAAGATAAAAAGACAGCAGAGATATAGCATAGGCTACAGGTATTTACATTATATATTACACAAGTACACATACAGTAAATGAAAGTCCTATTTCACAATTGTGTCTATTTCACCCAAGATTTCTCTTTGCTTATTTGGGTTTGTGTTGCATCCCAAGCATGAATCAGAGTTATCATACATTAAGAGCTCTGCATGGTGCACACATACACCGCTCACTCCTGCCTGAGAAGCAGGGCACAGAGACACTTCAGGCTGCAGTCTGTCTGAGCTGTCTCAGCTCTCTTGCTGAGACTCTTAAAAAGCATCACCATGATTCAGGAGGGGAGATCGCCTCTTCAAGCCCTCCTTAAGGTAAGCATGGCTTCACTCTCCTCATCCTCCTCCCGCTCAGAGTTTATAAGAGGGCACGCTCATTGAGTTTGCGCTGTTCATGGATTCCACAGTTACAGCACTGCTGCTTCCATTTGTTTCTAGGGCCACTGGAGGTAAAGTTGCTCTGATTGGCTGCCTGGTTCAGCCAGTCTCGGGACTATTTCCTGACGGTGGTGGTGCTGTTGCTGCGCTGGTAGAACAGCACATAGGCTTGATTGGTCTGAAGCTGGTTCTCTGAGACTGGAGTCACACTGTAGGTGGGCAGATGAAGAGAAATCATGGGAAACAGCTCCAGGAATACATAGTAGGTGTCTCAGTGCACACCATGGGGTTTTGTGCAGACAGTGCAGCTTGCAGGGCATTGCATATTAAAACAAAATGATTTGGGTGCAGGGCAAGTCTCACCTGGAGTCATTGTAGAAGCACCAGCCATTTTCATCTAAGCAGCAGGCTGTGTAGTGACCCATGTTCACCGTCCCAGCGTGGTTACATATTGCATATAAATCATACAGAACTGGGCCTGTGGGGACACACAGACATATAATGACTTACTTAGGTTGTGTCAGTTTTCCAGGTTTGCATATTATGGAATAATCGACATGTTGTAAGAAATCATTTTCATCTGTCACATTCAAATATCTGATTAAAAAATAGCACATGAGCTGTGGATGAGCTGGTAATTATAGGCCAATATGTCATTACTTTCCATTACATTGTGTTTTAAGTGATCGATTGTTAAACTGTAACAAACATGGTGGCCTTCAGCTTCTATGTAAAATGAGATAATGCACAGATGGTGACAAGGACAAACTTAAAGAAAGGTCTTGTTGTGTTACCACAGTCGACAGGCCCGTAGCGTCCAAGGTCCAGGTTGGTGAGTGGGAAGGACACATAAACTGTGCTTTTACTGATCGACCATCGTGACGTCGTGAAACGGTTCAAATCTGATCCAGACTGTTAAGCATCATCACAACGTCTCGCACAAAAACATCAGTGAGATTAATATTCTAAGTAAGAGCTGTTGCCAAGGATACGGATCACAATAACCTGGGGAAACCTCTGGATGGAAAGCCGCTTGGTGCACTCTGTATGCCTGTTACACCTCTCACACATCTGAAACACACACAAACACACACACCTCAACATTTGCAGACACAACATCTGTTGTAGGCAGTGTGAATAGTTAATGGAAATAGCTGGAATATTGAGGAAAGTGTTACCAGTTTTACTTGTTATTTGCCTTTGTGTCCATTGTTTCAAACTTGACAACATAAACACTCTAAATGGATACGGTTGTATTTCCTGTTGGACTGCTTTGTGGTGTATGTGAATGACATCAGCTAACAGAAAGCACTGTTAGGGAGTAGTGAACTACATGTAATTAAAGTAGTCGTTTAACTACATTTTGCAGTAGTTTGCTTATAGTTCAACTACATTAATATTTGCATAGTGATTCCGATAGTTAAATTACTTTGCCATTTTTGTATATTTAACCACTGAATCTACAAACAAACAAATCTGGGCCATAAAAGGAAAGACTTTTTGTTTTTAACTGCAATTGAACCCTCTTTGTCCACAGTTGCTCGCAAATACTGATTATTGCTATTTATTAATAAACGTGAGAAGTTGTTGAGGCTATTTTAGAAGTTACCTAACTAACTGAATAATCCTGCCTGCTTGGTGCAATACCTCCACCTAGTTTCTAGCTGATGGTCATTGTGTACGAAACGAAAGCTAAACACTTGCATTTTCCATGTATAGAGGGGTATTTTATTTTTAGGATGATGTATGACTCATAAACAAGTGGGCACTTTTTGCAATGAACTCAACTACGTGGTATTTTATGCTGGCATGCTACTCTTTTGCATTTTGTTATACTTTTCTAATAATAATCATATGTGCATTGTCAATTTGATGATTTATTTTTACTTATTTACTTATTTATTTATTAACAATGTAGACAATTTTTTCGAAGTATCTTAAGTTAATCAAACCAGACTTCTCCTGAGGGTCGCTTTACAGCACGTCAGCTTCTTCCAGTTTAAAGGTACTGATAGCTTGCAAAGCTATGCATTCAAAATTGCTTCCCCAGCACTGGCAGTAAGTAAACATGGACCCAAGCTGTTGCTAAGCGAGGCAACTCCACTGAAACGGTCAATTAAAATTTTATTGATTCATATATCAACAACTGTAATATAGTTTTTGGCTGTACTCACTTATCCTGATCTCCATCTATCTCAGTGGTACTTTCACTCTTAAGGAAGCACTAAAGAATGGTAGTGAGTGAGTTGTTGATTAAATTAAATGTATGATCTAGTCATAACACGTGTTTATGTAAATTCTCAGAGCTTCATTCACATCCTGTGGTCTCCATAAATATATCGGACAGGTCCAATTTTCTGTAACAGTTTGAAATCAAATACAAAATGATTTATGTGATTATATGTCTACAAGACTCAATTGAAAAAAGCCCATCTGATTTACAGCGACAAATAACCTTTTATTTATTCTATTTTTTATAGTTGATTTTTGATAGTGAGTTTCAACATTTACGTTTCTCTTAATTGCTGTTATTTTTGTTTGTTTGTTTTTTTCACATAGTATGATGTTTATGATGTTTTCTATCTGATTTAAACGTTTTGTATCAATGCTGTATGAGCCTTTTAGCCTCCTTCCTGCACATATCGATCACATATTACACATAGCTATGTTACCATGTGTCTTTACTATGACGTTTGAATTGTGGGAACAAATAAAAAAAAAAGTTAAATTAATAAAAGTATAAGAAGTATAGTTTAGAGATAAATAAAGATTCAGTTTGGACTAAACCATTCCCAGCTCACAGTGTCCATCTCATTGACCTTTGACCCCAAAGTTAGAGACACATTCATTGGTTTGCACTTACTGGTGAGTTCTCCTTGTCCAGTTTCTCCTCCTGAGAGAAGAGGTCCAGGCACTCCCTCAGCGTGACCTCCCCACCAGAGCTCCTCTTAGGGATGGGCAGCGACAGATCACAGAACACATCGAACGTGTTGGAGTAGTGGGAGCACACCGAGCAGTGCAGCGAGCTCCTCAGTTGGCCTGAGAACAAGTCTGTGAAACGGGCAGAGGGGATTATCAGCAGGTTGCCTTTGCTGAATTTATAATGTAGGTGGGTCTGACTGATCACCATGACTGATGACTGGGTGGCTCTCCTCACCTACTATTCTGCTGTCATCTCTCTCCAAGTGCTTCTTCCACATGGCTGCTGCTTCTTCTGAAAGCCTAATGGAGGAGAGGAGATGAGGAAAAGAAAGTTGTGGTCACATCAAGGACATCAAAGTTTCAAGGATTGATTTTCCACACAAGCATACACACCTAAATCGGGCATATTTTTGCTCAGGCTCCTTCGCCGGTCGTCGGACGTAGGGTCTGCGGTTGATTTCTGTGTGCAGCTTGTCCAGTAGGAACCTGAGGAACTCCTGTGCATCCTGTTGACTGGATTAAACAGAGACAGAGCCTTCTTCATGTCACTGATATAGGCAACTTTTTCTACATGAGGCTCATGTAACCAATCTATATGCGTCATGGCAAAGTAGAAAGTGATTTGAAATAGTTTACAGCTCGTCTCGTGTCCTTGAAACAGTGTGCTGCTGATACAGAGGTTGATATTGTATTGCAATGCATTCAAGTTTCATGGAAAGATGCAGCTAACCTTGAGAGGAAGAAAAACATCGTCTATATTCTCACCTGTATCCACTGAAGTAAGGCACAGCTTCTTTGAAAATATTGTAAAACTGTCGTGGGTTTACAACTGTGTCCCCTTCATTTACATCCCAAAGGCCTGACAGCACCTGGGAGAAAGCTGGCACGGGAAGACAAGGAGCGATCAGCTAAGATGATAACATAATACAAAGATGAGGGAACAGTGAGGGAGAGAGGAACGTACCTTCCATAAGCTTAGCCTCTTCTTTGGAGAACCTCTCATTCCTGTAGGACTTGAGGAGGCTGTAGTCGCGTAGGCCACGTGTGTGAGACAAACATTGGACAACTGCGTTCAGGAAACACTGAGGTGGCGACACAGGGGAAAGTGAGCATGTTTATGGGAAACAATATGACAGTTATTCTTGAAGTGTTTCTGTAAAGGGCTTTGCTTAATGGTCCAATGTGTAAGATTTGGTTGGATTTAGTGGCAAGTAGTGGTGAGGACTGCAGAATGCAACCAGCTGAAACTTCTCCCAGTTAGAATTCCTTCAGTGT